TCTGTTCCGCAGCTGAAACGTCAGCTGCCACTATCTTTCAGATTACGGTGTGATACTTGCAACAGCCGCCATGCTCAAATTAGGCTATCGTCATGAACGACTGTCGCGCAGCAAGGGTACAAATGGAATATGTGCTGAGGTCCACACAACTAGTAAGGACGGACCGTCCGTGTATCGAAGTAAGTATCCAAGCACCCTTACAACGCTATCAACTAAAATGTGAAAAAGACTCGAAAATGTGCTGTCATGTCGGAGTCGTAGCTTTCGCGTCGAAAAGTAGGGATTTTTAGGATAACTGAGCGATCCTTCTACAAGAAACTCCCTTGATTAATAATTTGTCTCTTATCAGCAATATAGTTTCCTTGAATGTAAATTGAGAAAATTCATCTTGATTAGCTGACGCGAGGTTGTTAGACTAGTCGTAGAAATTTGGCTGACGTTTCGGCGACCCGCCTTCTTCAGAGCCTGGGCGTATGTAATATTAGTTTATTTGAATGATTCGGAGGAACTTATTTATATGCTGCTTAGATAACGTTATAATCGCCCAGGCTCTGAAGAAGGCGGATCGCTAAGTTTTCTCGATTTTCATATAACAATTAATCATGCCTAGGTCTATAGAAAGTCGAACTTCTGAATTGTTTCCTTAAAATCTTGATTTCATAAATGACTGCCAGCAAAGCTCTCCTGAAGTTCAAAGGGCTAGCTAATCACACAGAAAGCAACTGCGGTTTCATTGGAAGTAAAGCACAGCATGAGATTTTTCCACAACATTAGCTTTGCATGTATTTAACACTTCTCAAACTATCAAATGACTAAGGAAACGCAGATGGACTTGAAAAATCTTCAAAAACACTTCGAAAAAAGGTCTTTTTCGAAAGGACGGGTTTCCTCACAAAAATATCAAATTTTCCAACACTTGATCACTATTCTGCAAAAAAATACCTTCAAAAAGGTTTCTTGTGCGACTCATTATTTTGTAACGATAGAATGCCTCTAACGCATAAAATCTTACAAGCACCAGTAATCTCTATGCGAAGTACGAGCAAAGCGCGAATTCAGTGGGTCTGAAGCGTGATAATTTTCTTCGCTCTTCTAGCGCTCTATAGTACTCTTTCAGAAATCAATTAAAGCATCAAAATCTTCGAGATTTTGATTATCGAATGACTGGTGAGAGAGTTTAACGAAAGCTATTTACAAGCCCCAGCCGAGCAAACAAGCACTGAGTGTGAAACGTTTTTTTCCTGTGCTACAACGTAATAAAAAGGCCTCTTCAGAAGTCCAACATATTTTTGAAATCGCAAAGATTTGAGCACTTGAATAATTACCAAGAGGTCTGGAGAGTTTTGTCCAGCGAGAAAAGCCTTCAAACATTCGCTGTTACTCGCCGTCCCGAACGGATTAACGAGGCGACCTCTATCACCGATCCATGTGAACTCTGCACGCTTGTTCTCCGCCAATTTAAAGAAAAGGTGAACATTCCAAACAAAACGGTAAGTGCCAGAAGAACACGTTCACAGCTCGATTGGAGCTTAAGTTACGGGATTTCCGGCAAACTTATGGAAGCGTTTGGCTAGTGCATTGAATAATAATATTATAATATCAAGAATAATGCTTGTAGTTAAATTAGGAATAGTAATGATAATAATAATAGTAATGATAATATCAGAAGTAATCATAGTGCAACTAAATAATAATAATAGTGGGAAATATAGAAACAGTAAGATGATAACAATCCGAAATCCTATGCAGTGCCGTTATATGCCAAATCTACCGAAAATATTGTTAAACTCGCAAGCTTACGATTATCAGTTGGCGATTTGTCAACAAACACTAGTTTGCATTCTAGTGGGTCATAGCTGACTTGAATAGTGAGCTGATCCAAAATCATTGGAATCACCGCATCAGGAAGGAGGGCAGCGCGACCTTGTCGATCGAGTACATCAGTGACCGGAATTGAAAAGTTTTTTACTATATGACAAATGTCTTGTTCTTATTCCGCAATCAGTAAAATCACATAAAGCATGTTGTTCAATGCGCTAATTGGAATGGCTAAATTTTAAAAAGATTGTGTTCTAAGTTATTATAACTTACTGCTTGCATTACAAGACGTGATACAACTCCTTTCGCTGCATCTGCACTCGTTGATATCATAGGGACTTGGGCACGCACAGTTAATTCACCAGAAAAAGCCATGGCTACTGGCAACGAGAAGCCGGTAACGTTAAAGTTTCTGGTGCTTCCTGCATTAAATGTTTGAGTTTGAAACATCAAAGATGATCAAATTTTTCACGCCTTTTTGAGAAAGTAAATAAGCGAAACAAATGAAGGTTAACAAGCAAATATAGACTGAAGTTCAACGTCGGTCAGTCCTTTAGTTATCCCTGCAGACTTCAGCAAACATTATAGATTGTAATCGAATGCATAGACGGCCTGTGGAGACTTGTGGCTCCAGATATTTCATGCTTGAGGAGTGTCCTTGTAAAAGCTGACACAAGGTTGTTAACAATGATATTGCTGCTGTTATTACTATTATCATCATTATCATTATTATTTTTTTATTAGTGTAACTGTTATTGCTGCTGTTGTTGTTGTTGTCGTCGTCATCGCCGTTGCTCGACGGATTATGCTTCGGTGACTTCGTTCTCAGATTAGGAAACAGTTTATGTGAGGCTCTTCGTATTAATCGATGGATATTTCACGAGGTTGATGGCAAAGTTCCCCAACATCCGCAAAAACTCAAGTTTTTTGTTTGTTCCACGCAGTATCGGTTATTGTAAATTCATGCCAATATCTCTGGAAACCATGGCAACGCTAGTTAGTGAATCAAGTTTTAGTTGATTCCTCGCTTATAAAACGATGCCGGTGGACAAAATTGAGCGCTGAGTTTTGATACGCTATTGCTGGAAGTAACAACCTTCGAAAAGAGGTGCTGCAATGGAGATCTGTGCTACCGAAGGTGAAGGAAATGTGACTACCGCAAAGTGGTACAAACGATTTGAAAGTAGTGATCACAGTCTCAAAGGCCAAGCTCGTCCCGGCCAACCATTGAAATTGAATAGCGGAGGTCTGCAAGGTACTCTGGATGCGAAACCGTCATCAAGAACTCGTGATTGGCAACAAAACCTAGCTTCGATCAAAAGGCGGTTTCAAGTCATCTCCAACAACTTGACTTTGTCCATAAGAAATCTCTCTAAGATCCGCACTAACTGACTGAAGCTCGAGCCAGCCGTAGCACTGAAGTTTGTTGTTAGCTGCTGCAGAGCCCACTGAACGACTGATCAAAGCGCATCGTGAAGCCGGATGAGAAGTGGATTCACCTTGTCACGGTCACGATCGCAGCACACATAGGGTCCTAATAGGTCAAGCTCCTCCATAAGTTGCACGTCAAAATTCGATTGGTGAGAAGGTCACGATCTGCTTTTGGTAGAATTTTGACCTTGTTTCGAATGGTCGCACCATTAATGTCGAACTCTACTGCGCGTAGCTGGGACGAGTTTACGATGCATTGAAGGACACAGTAACCGACATTGATTCGTCGAAAGCGCGCGGTTTCAGCACGACTATGTCAAACCTCTTACCGCAAAGAAGACTAAGGAAAAGTTTGGCTGGTGAGAATCAAGGTTTGCCGTATCCAGCCTACAGTTCTGATGCTGCACCGTCCGAATATGGTCTCGTTTCCTCTCAGTAAAGCATTTCATTAGTGGACGCCAATTCGAGATTTGATCAGGTTGAAGAGACATGTCAGGAGTTTTTTGATTCAATTCCAGTGAATGTTATTCCAAGCATATCTGAGAGATAGCAGAATATTGGCAGAGGACCGTGGATAATAATAGTCTTTATTATAAAGATTATTTAGTGCTGTTTTCAACCGAATTCGTGCATAAAATTCAAATTTCCAGCGGACGTTGAGGAGCCTTTCCTCAAACTAAGATGGCACTAAAGTGTGTTTGATTTGTAGAATAGATCTTTATTAATATAACAGGTGATCCATTGAACTGCTGAAGTGTTACATAAATTACGCCCAGTCTCTGCAGTGCGAAGTGATTGAAACATGGACTAGTGAACGACAACAACAGCAACAACAGCATTTGACACCAACCTGTTGTCTGCTTCACAAAGGTAATTCCTTTATATATATATATATATATGAACGCATATGTGTATATGTATATATGCATAAAGGATAAAAGGATAAAGCTTTCGGCGTTGATCAATCCCTGAGGGATGCGCCATGCATTCGACTTCAATTTTGAACTTCGTTTGAGATGATTGAATGCATATCTGGCCTTTACAATGAGTCGCGGTGGCCCCCGCTGAACCGAGTCAGTGCTGCTTATCCTCCCAGACAAGTCTGAGACCTGCCTGGTACCAGTTTACCGACCCCGGAGGGATGGATGACTTGGTGAGCCATGAGCGCGAGTGAACCATTGACCTCGTGTGCGACGCAGAGCACCTCTAACCACTGCGCCACATTCGCTCTTGTATATATATATGTAGTTATAAGCGTTTATATATATATGTATATATATATACATAATATGTATAGATCATTAATGACGAAATTTATGGTTATACTTACATGTAGTTGGATTTTGTTTCTATTTTAAGGGTCATTTCTAATCCGAGACGAGGGTAGAACAAATTCATGTGCACTGTACAAAATGTCCAAGCACTATGATATACTCGCCCAAAAAAATGAATTACAAAAGCAAAGAATGCTGAAATTAACTCTGTTGAAGCAGGGATAATTATTGAATCAAAAAGTGAGCACATAATTAGGTGTTCTTTGTTCTCTTCACTAGATCCTTGATGCTCGTAAATGCTGGTCGAGCCGCTTGCTTCGTTTTGCTCAATATAGTTAATTCATCATATTGACCTCTCAAACTTGACAGACGTGACTGGACTAATCTGAAACATTTATTCAATTTGAGCATGGAAGTTCCATTAGAATTGTATTGCTCGAGCATTTAATCTGAAGATGAGTAATGTGTAAAACTTTGAATGTCGGACGAGATTCGAACACGTGTTTCACTCCTTCCGGGGCGCGTGCTAACCATTGCACTACCGGCACTTGCTCTGCCACTTCTCTTTCTGATACACAATTGTAAATTTCTGCCTAATTGTTGGTGGATGACTGTTAACTGATGGATCGAAATTATAATGATGACGGAATGACCGCTGTTAGTGCAATGATCAACACGCGCCACGAAAAGGATGAAATGCGGGTGCGGGTGCGAATCCCGTCCGTCGTTAAAAGCTTTGCACATCACCCATCATATTGGTTATATGTTTGCCACATCATGTCGTCACTAAGAAGGATAAATAAGATAAATTCTTATTTAATTTGACTTGATTAATGAGATCATTTTTAAAGTTGCAATTGCTTGCACTACTACAACTTTTCTATACATTACCTTGACCAGCTGGCATAACTCCACATCCTAATACTGTTGATGTGGTTAGTGACGAAATCAGAAAGAGATCGATCAGATTTCTCTCCATCTTCTATGACTATTCACTTCTAGCCCCTGAAAAACTAGACGAATGCCAAATTCGTAACTGCAAAGAAATTTTTCTTTTCTTCATCAGATTAATATTAAAGTAAGGACAGATTCATAATTTTAGAGACCTTTGACTTATCCTATAGTTTAAGTTGCTGAATGATACGCAAAATATTTAACCTCAGGAGTGAGTTGAACTCGCGCTTCACCTATGTTGGGAACGTGTGCCGCCATTACACCACCTCGAGCATCGATCTGTCACGACTCTTTCTTTGATATGTAAATAACTGCTAAAGTAATTAGGTTTAACGTGGACATGTAAGTACCAGGTAAATCCGTCAACGAATATTTGTGGCAGTTATGATGTGGTCAGTGAAGCATACACTCGGTATGAGTGGAACGCGGGCTCAACTCTCGCCTAATCTCGAATGTTTTGAGTACCATTCTGCGCCCTTGTACATATACTATTGACATCATAACACTGGTATAAGAGAGATGAAATGACGAATTCTTATAAATTATATATTTTTTAAACATTTTAGAAGTCTGTCACGCCTGAACCCAATAGAAGATTTTTTGGATTGGCTTTCATGACAGATTCTACCATTCGAAGCCACCTGGAAATTAGTTTAACGAAGAGAATTACATGTGAAGTTGCTAAATGAGAGGGAAGAAACCGAAAAAGATTGTACAAGAAAATTTCGTTAAGTGCTTTAAAACCGCAGGTGTCACTGTTTGTATTTGGTTCCCACCACCTCATTTCTGTTACAGAGGCATTAAATGTGACTTTCCCAAAAATAAAAAATTTAGAATCGACGAAAGGTGTCGCTAAAAATGATTAGTCAAAAGAATAATTGCTGAAAAGAATCGGTTGGAAAAATTGTAGTTCAAATTTCAATGGAAAGTGTTCGTGGTGACAAAAAAAGCAACTGTCCCATTATTCGAGCTCATAGGTTCCCATCAAGTTCGCTCATGGTTATGAAATCTACTTTGTCATGGTGGAGGCTACTGATAGCCAAAGAGAATGCTGCTGAATTGCACTAAAAAATTGAGAAACGGGCGGTAACAAGGATCGCATTGTTAATTCACTATTATGAGGAATGGCAATCGTTAAATCAAAACCAACAAAATAACTTAATCAGTTCATTGAGTTTTATCGTGAGGTAGTCCCATATTTTGCAGATGATACCAAAGTGTTGAGACAAGAAATAATATTGGCCAATTTTGAAGGCACTATTGAAGTGACTCTGAGCTGAGGCCTCCTTAATCAACTTTGAAGTTTAACAGAGGTGGACGTTTATGGAATACCGTCAGTTTCTTCCTTATTTCTCCATTATGTGCAGACAAAACGAAGGTTTCTGTCACTGTTGACGATATTTGTCGAAGAAGAGCTATTTGCAAGAAATGGATGATATTCTCCAAATTAAGGAAAACTAGAGTCTGATCCTCATTTCAGACAAAGATCAAATCAAACAAGTTGACATGTTTGAGAAAAGCTGTTATTACTTTATGGGAATTCCTTAAAATTTGGTGGATACGGCAGGGTCTCTTGAATTGTATTTTTCATGTAACGCTATTAATTCACAAAACTGATTTTCTACTAATTTAGTCATCGTTCAGAAATATTTTACTGATTGTTCAGTGAGAAAGGTGAAGTCGTTAAACGAATATTTGTTTTGTCTTGACTACGATTTTGACAGATTCGCGTCATTTGAAGCCGCAATGAGTCAGGATGATTACACTTTGCTCGGGATTATCTTCATCACCTTAATATGAAAAGCCGAAAGAGCTGCAGCATTAGCTGTGGAGCGTTTCGTTGATAGTTGTCTTATCAGATATCTTTTTTTCTTGAATAAATTTGAGCATTTTTCACGAGTTCTTCAGAGCTTTAGCTATTCCCTGGCGTCCTGTCTATTGAGGTAAATTCTCAACTACTCAAGGTGTCTCATTAAAGGACTCAAAACCAAAAGATAAAAAGTCATCATAACTTTCTGGCGCAAATTTAATTTTTGAAATTTTTATCTACTTATCTCGTTCTTCCTCTTTTAAGACCTTTGTAGGTTATCGTATATGATATTTTTTTCATTCATAGATAGCAATGCGACATGAAAACGGATCACTTGTTTGTTTTTGAAAAAGCTCTGAAAGCGTTGCTTTCTACCGGCACTATTGCTGCCACTTGCCTTTTGCATCACTCGACCATCAGGGCTTGACACTTCATAATGTCTTCGAAGAAGAACTGTTTAATGATTAGCGTCGAGTCCGATTTCAAATTCATATTTTTAGATAACCTGTTCTGACTATTAGCTTCAGTTCATCTGCTAATAGTCGAACATTATCCCCTCTGGAAAATACAATTCCCACTTTCAAATAGTTTGAGTTCAAAGGCAAAACTCTGTTATTTTTATTTATCTCAGGCTTATCTCAACTGGTCTAAAATCACTGAAAAGGACTTTCAAAAAAGTTATCACCAGCAGTGTATTGTGCAAAACATACGCTTCAATTACAGGCTTCGAAACTACGCGCATCAAATATTCGTTTTATATCCATTCCAACAATTGCCAAGAACAACGGCTGTGATTTCAGCAAGGAATCTAGCATTTTGGAAAAAAAAAATTACTGTAGAGGACCACATTAGCCATTAGTGATCAGGGCTTTGCGTGTAACGATGATAATCGTCTGTATTTTCACTGGTGGCTGGTAGTTGGATTCGTTCATCTACTCAGATATTTGCATGTGGTTAAATGTTTGTCTACAAAACAAAAAATAACGCTGCGCTAGCGGCTTCAAGCAAAAAGCTGACTATTTCTTCTAACATCTATGCATGTAAACACACCTATCGTGATAGCGCTCGACGGCTGTGAAGGTCTTAATGAATTTCGCTGCGCAATGGAATTGGAGAGCGGTGACCTATTGTTTACTGATGCACGTTATTATGATCCAATGTGCTGGTCCTAGCCCATCCTCAGCTCAAGTCCTACGATCACCTATGAGAGCCATAGTGTGACTATCTTCAGGATTGCAGCAATATTTTCCCGGTCAGTGTTCTACGACATTTACACAGAAGTCGAAATTCTCAAGCAAAAGTCAAAATACCACGCAGAAGTTCAATATCTTTGTGGAAGATTAGTGTGAGGATGTAATAACGGGTCGTGTAGAAAAGAGAACTCCAACAAGTGATTCCGTTCTAAAAACTGCCCCGCACGATAGAATGACACATTGAAAACATAGGCAGGGCTGCTTAGTCATCGGGCATCATGTTAGAATTTGACGGTGCTGAAGAAAGCTGAATAATTAGCTCCGTCCTATTCTAACAAAACTGCTAAACAAGAAGCAAGTTCAATGCAAAATTCTCACACATACCATATGCTGCCGTAAACAGAGAATCCTGTTAACCGGAGAAAAAACACTATAATTGCAAGATTTTTCGCGTGAACTGTGCTGTGAGTGCTAAAATCCTTGAAAGCGTCATAGCACTCATGTGACAATTTCGACAAGTCGTCATGACCATACACAGCTCCATTTTGTTGGTTTAGGATACACCTTTGTAATAATTCATGTCATTTCATTTCTAGCTCAGCCATTAGACAAATTTCCAACTAGATTAGCTTCACAGCAGAAAAGTAGTGATAAACAAGTTTTTTTTTTGTCCCATCTCTACTCAAAGATTTTTCACCTAATAAGCGCTACTTCTTATAACATTCTGGAGCAATCAACAATTATCCGCAGTGAAACGCAACAGTAGTATCGAAAATAGTGGAGCGCTAACGAAAGCAGTTGTGAACGTGTGACTTTACTCACTGCAAAACAAATAAGCTGTGTGAGCATGATAGCGTTGACATTTCAAAATTTGCATCTATTCGAACAATTTACGTGGATAAAAATAGAGAGAATAGAGCTCTCGGAGTTGATCAATCCCTGAAGGATGCGCCATGATGCATATCTGGCCTTTACAATCACTTACGCCCAGTTAAGTCTGAGACCTGTTTGGTACCGATTTACCGACACCGGAGGGATGGATGGCTTGGCAAGCCATGAGCGTAAGATCGAGCCATTCACCTCGTGTGCAATGCAAAGCACCTTCAACCACTGCGCCACATGAGCTCTTACGTGGATATAAACGCAAAATGATTTGTTGATTCAATACTCGTTCAAGTGTGGCAAGCGCTTTGCTTTGATATGAGTTATAAGAGAGGAATACATTGGGAAGTAATATTGAGGTGGTGAAAGAAACGCTAATTTTGTGGTGCATTTTATTCTCGAGCTTCAGATAAAATTGAAACTTTTATTGTTTGGGCATTACAAATGCACGTCACACTCTTCAATCGCAGAGGAAGCGAATTAGCTTTCTGCATACTTAACGCTTTATATGAGTCTTCCACTAATTGTTCCACTTAAACACCTACCGTAAAGAGTTCAAAAAGAATGTCAGGATACTAATGCACTTCTCTCATAATAAAGTATCAGTGCAGTATACTACACCACAAAGCAAGGAATCCCTCCGTGCTTCTAGGTTCTAGATTCATGGAATTTATCCATAATGTTTGCACGCTAAAATTACCACTTTTTC